CTCAGGTCCTCCTGACTCCAGGGCTGGTGCTCTATCCACTGCACCACCTAGCTGCCCCTCCAATGAGTTTTTCATCGCCCTCTCACTGTAGGGACCTCCTTTATTGACCCAATGTGCTGCTCTGACAATATAAAATGAAAGTACTGGTATAGATGATTTCTTAAGGTTCCTTCCTACTCCAAAGTCACTCAGTCAGCCAGCCAGCAAGCATTTATTAAGCATTTACTATGGGTCAGGCACCATTCTAAGCAAGAGGAATGCAAAGAAAAGTCAAAAACCAGATCCTGCCCCCAGGGAGCTCAAATTCTAATGAAGGAGAGACACAAGATAGAAATAACTAGGTCTGTATAAGACATATACAGCATAGATAGAAGGTAATTTCAGAAGAAAGGTGCTGTCACCTGGAGGGAACCAGAAAAGGCCTATACAAGATGATATTTGAGTTAAGAAGCAGTAATGAGGAGGGAGAGCAATCCACATGTGGAGGGGAGCAAGTACAAAGACATGGAGAGGAGAGATGACAACTGCAGAATCCATCCAAGAAGGCTGATACAATATACCATTAATCAATCCATCAATATACAAATAGGTGGAAGAGAAAGAAAGGGGAGGGGCCACATTTTCATTTCTCTTCTTTGCAGCCAAACTTCTTCGTTATAATTTCACAGGGTTCATTTTCAATTGTTTTGTTGCTGTAGTAGTTATTGTATGTACTATTTTTATGGTTTTGCTTACTTCACTTTGTACTTCCTCATGGGTCTTCTCGTCCTCTCTTCATCACATTCGTTGTTTCTTACAACACAGTAATATTCCTTTACATTCATGAACCATAAATTATGCAACCGTTCCCCAGTTAATGGGCACTGACTTCGTTTCCAGTTCTTTTCAATGATTAAAAAAAGGATTGCTATACATATTTTGATACACGTGGGACTTTCCTTTTTATTCTGACTTTCTGGCTATGCCTCACAGCAGAATCTCTCTGGCAAAAGGTATGGACATTTTAGGAACTTAGCATGATTCTAAACTGCTTTCCAAAATGGTTGGATCAATTCACAGCTCTACCAACAGTGTATTAGTATGCTGGTATATACACAGTCATTTATACATTTGCTTTTCTCATCTTTATCAATTTTCTACATGTAAAGCAAAATCTCAGAATTTATTTACGTATCTTTTATTAAGTATTAGATCAACCTTTCATTTGGTTCTTTTTTAACTTTTTTTTTTAATCAGTGAAAATCCACCTTTTCTCTCACCTGCCCTGCCCCCACCAATTGAGAATGAAAGAAAAACAAAATCCCTTTTACAAACATGTATAGTTAAACAAAACAAATTTCTACATTCTACATCTCTCTCTCTCTCTCTGGATAGAGGTACATAGATGAATATAGAGAACTGCTTTCTATATTTATACATATATGGTGTATATAAAGAGATGTGTATGTATATATTACATATACATATATAATGTCATGTCCATATATATGTATATTTGTGTGTATATATATGCACATATAAATGTGTGTGTGTGTGTGTGTGTGTGTGTGTATCAGGAGGTGGTTTCATTATTAGTTTCTTAGAATCCTGACTGGTCATTACATTGATCAGATTTCCTTATCCTTCCAAAGTTGTTTGTCTTTCCCATGTTGTTTTCATTGTCTAAATTATTCTCCCGGTTCTGTCCATTTTACTTTGTATTATTTTAAAGAAATCTTCCCAGGTTTCTCTAAAACAATCCCCTTCATCATTTCTTACAGCACAGTAGCATTTCATCACATTTATATACTCATAACTTGTCCAGCTAATTCCTAATTTATGAGCACCCTTTCAGATGCCCATTCTTTGCCACCTCAAAAAGAACTAGAATATTTTTGTACATTCTTAGAGTATGTTTTACTTAGAACAAATCCCTCCCTTAATCTACCTTCCCTCGAATTCTCTCTTCTCCTCTTTCTTTCTTTTTTCCCTGTTGAATAAAATATATTTCTGTACCCAACCTCTGTGTGTGTGTGTGTGTGTATTCTTCCGTCTTATGACCAGTTCTGATTACAGTATGATTCACATGCCATTCCCCACCCTCTCCCTCCTCCTTGTTAGTCTAGATGTCTGCTCCCACACCAGAATTATGAGAGATAATTTTCCCTAACCTTCCTTTCCCTTCCACCTATAGTGTATCCCTCTTCCCCTCTCTTTCCATTCTTCACTTAAGATCTTCAAGACACAACAGAACCACTTCCAACCCCTGTCTAATTGTACTCTATCTATGGACTCTGATGATAATCGGGTTGAGGGGACACATACATATTCAAAGGGGCCAAATATCTCTCCATATTTCAATTTAAGCACTTTATCCTGGTCTAGTCCCTTATGATTGTTCCTTCATATTTACCTTTTTAAGTTTCTCTTAACTCTTGTGTTTGAAAACTTCAGAGTTTCTACACAGTTCTGATCTTTTCATCAGAATGCTTGAAGTCCCTTATTTCATTAAAGACCCATTTTCCCCCTCTCTAGCATGATATACTCAGTTTTGCTGGGTAAGTTATTCTTGGCTATAATCCTATGCCTATTGCCTTCTATAATATCATATTTCAAGCTGTTGCTCCTTTAAGGTGGTGGCTGCTAAATCATGTGTGATCCTGACAGTAGTAGTTGAATTCTTTCTATAGGACTACTTTCATTATTTTTTCTTTGACTTGGAAGCTCTGTGTTTTGGCTATGATGTTCCTAGGAGTTTCATTTGGGAGTTTCTTTCTGAAGGAGTGACAAATGGATTCTTTCCATTTCTACTTTGTCTTCTGGGTTCTAAAAGATCTGGGCAGATTTCTTGAAATATGTTGGTGAGGCATTTTTGTTTGTTTTGGCATTCAGGTAGCCCAGTGATTCTTAATTTTTTTCTCCTCAATTTGTTTTCCACAACAGTTGTTTTTGCCATGAGATCTCTTGTGTTTTTTTTTCTATTTTCTGAGTCTTCTGATTTTGTTTTAATATTTCTTGTTGTCTCGTGGAATCGTTGACTTCTTTTTGGTCCATTCTAATTTTTAGGGAGTTTAATTGCATGGGCAAGGTTTATCTCTTGTGCCAAGCTATTAATTCCCTTTCTGATTTTTTTTCTTCTATAGTTCTCATTTCTTTTTTGATTTTTTTCTCCAGTACTCTGAATGAAATCATTATAATATAATAAAATATATTATTATATGAATTAATGAAATAATATAATGACATCATTAATAAAAAAATTATTTTTCTAGCCATTGCTTCATCTCTTCCAGGAATTCTAGCTGAATTTGTGCCCAAGCTGTATTTTTCCTTAAAGCTTTGCTTTTAGCTATTTTGGAGTCATTCTCAGCTTCTGAGTTTATGTCTTTAGTGTTCTTGTCACCATAATTGCTTTTTATGATGAGGTTCTTGTTTGTTTGTTTGCTCATTCTTCCAGCCTATCTCTTGACTTAGACTTGATGCTAGGTTCAGGCTCTTCATGCTTCTGGAAGGAATGTCTGGGCTGGTCTTAATCTTGCTTCTTTGTAAGTATTATGTTGTATTATTCCAGGATATCAGAGACACTTCAGGCTGGAGAACTTGCAGCTTTAAGTGTTCAGTGCTGATCCAGGGCAAAGTCTGATCACTGCCCACCCTGATCTGACTTCTGCAAGTTCCTGACCTGGGTTTGGGTCTGAGCAACAATAGACAGCTAATAGATTCACCCCTACCATCCACTTGGGAAAATCTGCTGATTCAGAGTAGCAGAACTGCAGGGTCCCCTTTGTTCTGGGATTTCTACCCTGATTTTTCCTCTGCAGGCTTTGGTCTTGCCTAGAATCTGGAACTAAGATCCCACTCTGCTCCTGGAGTTTGTGCCATACTGCTGTTGCTTGTTTCTGACCTTTCTCTTCTCTCCTGTATACCACCTAGGTTCTTCAACTCATCCTTACCCTTCCTCAGTCTTCCTTTGACCTGTGACATGAGAATGGGTAGTAGATGATAGAGCCACCAGTTGGCACATATTCCCAAACCCCACACAAGATCATGGTGGTTCAGTCTGTGTCTGGAACCACTTTTTACCCTGATGTACAGCCTTTCCCTGTGCTGAAATGCTCCATTATTGAGTTCAATTTTTTTTCTTATTCTTCCTTATCTAGTCTGTTCCACTGATAAACTTCTCTATTTTTTAACCAGTGCCAAAAAGTTTTGCTGACTATTGTTTTACAATATAATGTGAGGACCAGAAGTGCTATTCCTCTCTTATTTTCTTCTTTCTTTCTTTATCTCCCTTGAAGATTCTAGAACTTTTATTCCTTCAAATGAATTTAGTTATTATTTATTTATTATTTTCATTTTTATATATATAATTTATATATATATATTTATATTATATATATAAATTATTATTTACTGAACACAATTAGCATCTGTAACTTCTTCAAGATTGTGGTGCCTGGGGGCAGCTAGGTGGCACAGTGGATAGAGGCCCTGGAGTCAAGAGGACCTGAGTTCAAATCCAGTCTCAGACTAGACAATTGACACTTACTAACTGAGTGACCCTGGGCAAGTCACTTAACCCCAATTGCCTGGAAAAAAAAAAGAATGTGGTGACTGGGGTGGTATTTTGGCAGTCTCTGTGGCAATGGAGGATTCCAAAATGGACCTCAGGCTAGCTTGTAAATTTGCTTGTGTTCCAAAGTGAGTATTCTAAGTATTGAAATTCTCTACTGTTAATTCATAAAAGATTTTACCTTCTCATAGATTGTTATCATTTTCTTCTTCTTCTTCTTCTTCTTTTTCTTCTCCTTCTTCTCCTCCTCCTCTTCTTCATCCTCCCCCCCTTCTCCTTTTTCTTCATCTTACTTCTCCTTTCTCTCCCTCTATATCAGGCATATAATTCATTTTGGGGTGGAGTTTAGGGGAAGAATTGAAAAGATTTGGAGAAAGTGATTATTTTGACATTATGCTAATCATATGACCTGTATAATTTTCTGTTTTCAAGATAATTCCGGAATTGCCTCCCAGCTCCCATCTACACTTACCTCCCTGGCTGAGAGGTCAAAGATGACAATCCATTAGTCCTTATCAAGTGGCTTAAACTCTCAGAACTAGCACTAACTTTGTCTGAACATTATATAAATCTGCATCCTGGTCAAAAGTAAAACTGTTAGCACACGACCCCCATACCTCTCAAGAGAATTCCACCATGCCCAGACCTGCATCACCCAAGAGAAGGATCCACAGTTGCAAGAAGACTATGCTTCTAATTCTGGTGTTTTTTGAGGTGTATTTATATACAGGTGAGCAGGTAATGGGAGAGAGGGGACACTGGGAGATAAAGGATCCAGAGTCTGAGTGGAGGATAGACCAACAGAAAGCACAGGCCTGGGGGAGAGAGAAGGAAAGTGGGCAGGGAAGGGAGTTCTCTGAGAGTTCCTGTGTGAGTGGCTGTGAGTATGGCAGTCATGCTCAAGAAACTGCTTGGATCCACATGGAGGCAAGATCTGAGAGATGGGCGAAGAGGAAGTGAATGGAAGGTCTTGGGGGATGGAGAGGACTGTCATGAGTCAAGTGAGGTGGAACCAATTAGGGAACCAGGGAAGGTTCCCTGGCTTAGAACCAGATTGTAAAGAAGGGTCAAAGCTATAAAAATAGTTATTATTTCACCACTCAAGTCTTACTCCAACTTTTATTTTAAATTCTTAGATTTCATTTTACAATTTCCCCAATGGGTCCTTTATTTCTTTTCCTTTGTGTGTGTGTGAGAGAGAAAGACAGACAGAGATGGAGACCAAGACAAGATGGGGAGGGGTGGGGGATAGAAGGGAGTGGCAGAGTCATCAGTTTCCACATCTTTTGATATATTTGTTATCTAACTAAATTTTTCATTTGGCATTTTTTCCATCCTGTCCACTGATACTTCAATATGAATTTATAAAGTAATTTCATCTCTAAAGATTGCGGAAAATCCTTTATTGACTTACAATAGGGTTTTTCTTATATTTCTTATTCTTTTTGGTTTGTTTAGCAATGGAAGTTGGGGAAAGGGCACTCTCAAAAATATTTCTTAGGTGTGAGATGGAACTGCTACCAGAGAGTGAGAGATTTGAGTGATTTGGTCAGGCTGAAGGATAAGAGAGCTGGGCACCCCCAGTGTTTGGATCGTGGTAGGAAGGAGAAATAGAATCCTTTCAGCTTTGGGAGAGATGAAAGAATGAAGGAGCTTTCCAGAATGGAGAGAAAGAAAGTTTGGGGCTCACAGCAAGGTCTCAGCATCTAGCAAAGATGTCCAACAGGTATGGGGTAGTGTTGGGCTTTCAGAGGGGAGCTTTGCTCTCCACTCTCCTCCTCCCCTACCATCACCAATGCTGCTTTCTTTCTAAAGGCTGGGGCTCATCGTCAGGGACTCTCAGCTCCTGGCCAGGAGCTTCTTTGGGCAGTAGGGTTGAATTTCAGTTCAGTAGGAGCCAGGTGAGCCAAGGAGCTCTCAAGGCTTTGGTCAGCTGAGGAGCAGTAGGGTAGAGTTGGCCCCCTATGCTCAGGCTAGACACTAACTGAGGAGGAGCCAGGGAGTAGTACCTACTGCTCTGATAGGGTATCAGAGACCTCCCTGGCACCTTGATTAGGCTCTGGGGGCCTGGCCTTTTGACTAGGTGAGGGACACTCCTCAGCTCAGGTTGAGCATGGGGGTCTAGAGATTAGACTTCCTGGGCTCTGTCATCAGGAGAATCCTGTGATCTGACTGTGAAGAGGGGTGGGAAAGAGCAAAAAAAGTAGAGGTGCGGATGGTCCTTGTTTGGGGTAACAAGGGAAGTATCCTCACCCATAGGGTCAGTGTAAGCTGTGAGCCTACAAGGTAATAGCATGATGGCTCCTTAGGCAGCTGTAGTTACAGTTTCCACGTCTCCAGGGATTTTGTTTGTTTCCAATTATTTTCCTTTTCTGTCTCTGTCTTCTTATCTCTCCTTTTTGCCCCTAGTGGGGTAGGGAGGGAACTGGGTATAGCTTCTTAATTGGTGAGGCCATCTGGAAAATACTCACTGCCCTAACTTCTTACTACTCTTCCGTAGGGATGGTATTTGCTCTTCTCTAGTCCTGGGATTCCTCTTCTGTTCCCCGCACTTCTCCAGACATCACTTCTAGAGGCTCAGCAGTCCTGGAACTGATACTCATTAAGGGTCATCCAGTGTACTCTTACCGTCTCCTTCTTGTCTTCTTGCATTTCAACTCCTTGTTCACCATTTCTGTTCCATCTTTGACTTGATGGACAGAGACAACAGAAGCAATCGTTCTCTTCAGTCAGACAGTCATCCTATCCTTTCTCCAAGATGACCAAAAACTGAAAAGCAAGGGAGTAAAACACCTGTGTGAGGGGAGAAAGGCAGACAGGAGAGAGAGAGAGAGAAGGGAGAGGTCTTGAGATGGGATAGAGGAGATAGAGAAGCAAAGAAACCAAGGGAGGATGGGAAAACTGAAATAATGAGAGAGAAATGAGGGAAGGGAAAAGGTGGGGAATGGCTAAACAGGCTGTGAGATTCCCTGAGGGTAGGTCTGTCTTCCCAAGTGGGTCTGTATCTGCACAGGTCTGGGTAAAGAGGGGCTTGGGAAATGTTTGGGGACAGGTGGATTTAGAGTTGAAAGCTGATGGAGCCCACATTTCTGCTTCTGCCTCTTTCTCTCCCTAGCCCAGACTCTGATATGTCATAAGTGCAATGACAGTGAGGATTGTACCCAGCAAGAAACCTGTGCAGAAGATGAAAACGTCTGTATCACGGAGATAATAAGTGAGTGTCTACTCTCCCTCTGGGCTGAAGCCCTATCACGGACCATATTCTTATTCCCCTTCCTTCTCCCATTCCCCATCCTCACATATCCCAAATGAATGCTAAGCCCCAAAAGCCTATGAGGAAGGATCTAGCTGAGGGCAAGGCCCAGAATAAGGAGAACAACTCTGGTCCAAATTAGGAAGATGACAGAAAGGTGTACCAGCCCCAAACCATCAGGAATTGCAACTGAGTCAAGAACAGAGGAACTTTATGGGGTCAAGACTCTGGGGCCTTTTCTTTGTGAGATAGGGTCACCCATGGAGGATGGAGCCTTCCTCTGTGGCCCATGGTCCTTCTCTGTCTATTCCAGAAATGGCAAACCTTACCGAAGTTCTTAAGAAATGTTTCACAAATTGTGAAGACTTCTCTGAGGAAGAGACCTTTGAGAAGAAAGACACCAGTACTACAAACACACCCAACATCTCAAGCACGGTCAGTAAGGTACTGCAAATGACTGATAAAAAAAACTTCCTGTCCAGACATAGGACCTCCATGGAACATATCATTCTGTGTTGTGACAGTGACCTGTGTAACCAGGCCAGGGTCTGGGGCCCAGGAGATATAGATCTCATCTTCGGGTGCCTCCTCAGCTTTGTGTGGCTTATCCACCGTTCAGTGCTGTAATACCTCTGCTTATACCTTTCCATAGACAGTTTTCTAAGATGAAAATTTAAAAGAGCATTCACGGTCATTAAAGTAAGATTAATTAACTTATTGTGAAATGGTCTCTATTCTGTTTTCCAAATATATTTTCAGGTTCTAGAAGGTTAATCAGAGGATTTCCTGCTCAATTTGCTGAGCTGAGAAGGAGGTGATCCTCTCTTTGGCATTCTGTATCTCATCAGTTGAGGTTGAATTGGTTGACTCAATCACTTTGATCAACTGCACATTGGCACAGAGACCCTCCCATCCCCCCCTCATCCCCCAGGAACTAACTAACCAGCCATACTGTCATCAGCCCCAGAGGTGATAAACTCTTGTTTCTGAACTACGGTAAAGCACTCAGAGTTCCTGGAAACTTGACTCCTGAGTACAGCCCTAAAAGTCAATGTCAGAGCCATGGGACAGTTATGTCTTGTGGTTACCTTTCTAAGAAACTCATGATTAATAGTTTTTATTTTTTATGCAAAATATTTCCATATTAGTCGTTTTGTACAAGAAGACTCAAATCAAAGAAAAAAATGAAAGAAATGAAAAAATAGCATGCTTCAGTCTGAATTAAATCAATATCAGTTCTTTCTCTGGAGACCCACAGTATGATTCACCATTAGTCCTTTGGGATTGTATTGGATCATTGTATTGCTGAGAATAGCTAAGTCATTTCCAGTCCTTCATCAAACAATATTGCTGTTACTCTGTACAATGTTCTCCTAGTTCTGTTCATTTCCCTATGCATCAGTTCATATAAGCCTTACCAGGTTTTTCTGAAATCATCCTGCTTGTCATTTCTTATAGCGCAATAATATTCCATTACAATCATATACCACAGTTTGCTTAGCCATTCCCCAATTGATGGACATCCCTTTGATTTCCAAATCTTAGCCACCACAAAAAAAGCTGCTATAAATATTTTTGTACAAATAGAACCTTTTCCCTTTTTTGTATGTCTTTGGGATATAGACCTAACAATGGTATTACTAGATCAAAGGGCATGGCCAGTTTTATAGCTGTTTAGGCATAGTTCCAAATTGCTTTCCAGAATGGTTGGATCAGTTCACAACTCCACCAACAGTGCATTAGTGTCCCAGTTCTCTCATATCCCCTTCAACATCCAGCATTTTCATTTTTTGTCATATTAGACATTCTGATAAGTGTGAGGTTGGACCCCAGAGTTGTTTTAATTTGCATTTCTCTGACCAATAGTGATTTAGAGTATTTTTTCATATGACTATAGATAGCTTTAATGTCTTTCTCTGAAAACTGCCTGTTCATATCCTTTGACTATTTATCAACTGGGGAATGACTTGTATTTTTATAAATTTGATTCAGTTCTCTATATTTGAGAAATGAGGCCTTTATCAGAGATACTAAATTTCTCACAGTGATAGCAAAGACAAAATTTAAGTATTTTTTCTCAATATTGTGGCTTTAGTCCCTTGCTGCACCTCTAGATGCAGAGGTCATCTGCTTGAGCCACTTCTTCACAAGAAGCTAGTGCTACCCAAGAACCCTGCACTCTCTTTCCCCACTCTTCTTACTAAAAAGCTGGTTCTAAAAACTATTAACTGTTAGGAGCTATTTTGCCTAGTTACATGCCACTGAATTTGACAATCTAAATGAAATGGATAAGTATCTACAAAAAAAAAATTACCCAGAGTAACAGAAGAAGAAATAAAAAACTTAAATAACCCAATTTTGGGGAAAAAAATTGAACAAGCCATCAATGAACTTTCTAAGAAAAAATCTCCAGGACCAGATGGAATCACAAGCGAATTCTACTAAACATTTAAAAAACAATTAATCCCAATACTATATACACTATTTGGAAAAATAGGCAAAGAAGGAGTCCTACCAAATTCCTTTTATGATACAATATGGTGCTGACACACGAACCAGGAAGAGCCAAAACAGAGAAAGAAAATTATAGACCAATTTCCATAATGAATATTGATGCAAAAATTTAAATAAAACACTAGCAAAGAGATCACAGCAATATATCACAAGGATCATACACTATGACCAGTTGGGGTTTATAGCAGGAACTTAGGGCTGGTTCAATATTAGGAAAACTATCAGCATAATTGACTGTATCAGTAACAAAACCAACAGAAATCATATAATTATCTCAATAGATGCAGAAAAAGCCTTTGACGTAATACCAGTACCCATTCCTATTAAAAAAAAAAAAACACCAGAGAGCATAGAAATAAATGGAACTTAAAATGATAAGTAATATTTATTTAAAACCATCAGCAAGAATTATTTGTAATGGGGATAAGGTAGAAGCCTTCCTAGTGTAATCAGGGGTGAAGCAAGGATGCCCATTATCATTTACAGATTAAACCAAACCACTAGCTTTACAGATAAAGAGATCCAGACAGGAAAGTGACTTGCCCCAGCCAGTCCTTAGACTCCAAATCCACTGCCCTTTTCTACTGCACCATACCACCTCCTCAATCATAGAACCTTTATTTAATATTGTACAAGAAATGTTAGCAATAGCAATAAGAGAAGAAAAAGAAATTAAAGGAATTAGAATAGGCAATGAGGAAACAAAGCTATCACTCTTTACAGATGCTTTGTTATGCTTAGAAAATCCTAGAGAATCAACTAAAAAACTACTTGAAATTATTAACAACTTTGTCAAAATTGCAAGATACAAAATAAATCCATATAAATCTTCAGCATTTCTATATATTATCAACAAAGTCCAGCAGTAAGAGATAGAAAGAGAAATTCCATTTAAAATAAATTTAGACAATATAAAATATGTAGTAGTCTACCTGCTGAGAAAAACCCAGGAACTATGTGAACATAACTACAAAACACTTTTCACACAAATACAGTAAGATCTAAACAATTAGAAAAATATTAATTGCTCATGGGTAGGCCAAGCCAATATAATAAAACTGACAATTCTACTTAATCTATTTATTCAGTTTCATAACAATCAAGCTATCAAAAAACTATTTTATAGTGCTAGAAAAAAAACAACAAAATTCATCTGGAAGAGCAAAGGCTTGAGGATACTAAAAGAATCAATGAAAAAAAATGTGAAAGAAGGTGGTCTAGCCGTACCAGATCTCAGACTGTATTATAAAGTGGTAATTATCAAAACTGTGACTCTAACCTCTTGAAATGTGTTTAAATCTGGCTTCAGACACTATCTGTGTAACCCTGGGAAAGTCACTTAACCTCCACTTGCCTCAGTTTTCTTAGCTGAAAAATGGGTATAATAATAGCACCTACCTTCCAGGGCTCTCATGAGGATCCAATGAGATATTTGTAAAGTGCTTAGAAGGGTCCTTGGCACATAGTGAGCACTATGTAAATGCACATTTCCTACCTTCCTTCCCGTCTCTGAAGATACAAAGAAAGATAAAGCATGGGTGTGCTTCAATAAAACCCTTTGCTCTGTGTGTGTGTGCGTGTGTTTGTGTGTCTATGCAGGGTAAATGAAGCACATTTGATGAACGGTTGCCAATTGTCGTTGTTCAGTCATTTTCAGTTGTGTTTGACTCTTCATAACCCCACTTGGGGTTTTCTTGGCAGAGATGCTGGAATGGTTTGCCATTTCCTTCTCCGCTTCATTTTACAGATTAAGAAACTGAGGCAAACAGGGTTAAGTGACGTGCCCAAGGTGACACAGCTAATACATCTCTGAGGCCAGATTTGAGCTGCATGAAGATGAGTCTCCTTGACTCCAAGCCCAGTATCCTATCTACTGTGCCACCTAACTACTCAATGGTTGTGTCTGCCAATTATGTAATGTCAAATCTAGCAGTATTGTGTATTAAATTTGTAGTTCTAGGATCCATGATTTCTCCTATGAAGATCCTCTGATACAGACATTATTCCTTGACTTCATGTGCATTTTTATGAGCAAAAGTCAAGGATTTGGGTGGGACTCTGCATCCGTATCATAACAAATGTTCTGTTCGTGATGGGAACTGGAAAGTGGGTAGTAAGGGCTGGGGGAGTCTGTGGGTCTCCTCCTTGACTTCCCTGCTTTTTTCCTGCTGACCACTGGCAGACTGGGGCATGGGAAGGAAACCTAGTCTTTGACTACCTGCCAATGGGATAGTTGAAGTGGCTAGTCCTCGGAGACAGCCTGACGTGGGGGTTATTTGACCTCAAGTCCTTAAATGTCCTTTCTAACCCTGAGGTCCTATGATTGAAAGGAGGTGGTATGGTGCAGTAGAAAAGGGCAGTGGATCTGTAGTCCAAGGACTGGCTTGGGCAAGTCACTTTCCTGTCTGGATCTCTTTATCTGTAAAGCTAGTGGTTTGGTTTAACCTGTAAGACATTTTGCATTGTGTTGTTCAGTCATTTCAGATGTGTCCTGACTCTTTGTGACCCCATTGGAGGTTTTCTTGGCAAAGATACTGGAGTGGTTTGCCATTTCCTTCTCCAGTTCATTTTACAGATAAAGAAACTGAGGCAAACAGGGCTAAATGACTTGCTCAGGGTCACCCAACTAGAATGTGTCTGGGTCCAGATTTGAATTCAGGTCTTGTTGACTCCAGGCCTGGCACTCTGTCTGCTGCACCACCTCACTGCCTTACCTGGCATGTGTGAGTGCAACGATCCTACACTATAGGTGTAGACTCATGCCTCCTCCTCCTTCCTCTCCTCTATCCATCCCCAGATACTGCTCACAGGCTACCTTGAACCTCCCACCCCAGGGCCATACATCCTCAAGACTTAGAGCAATAGTTCTCTCTAGGTCTCAAGATATCTACCAAAATTCATTG